TTTTTTTTTTTTGTCAGTGGAAAGTGTCATGACGCCTTTTCTAAACTTAGGCCCCTGGGCGGGACCCGGAAAGAAATGTGTAAACGCCAGAAATCAAAGAAAATGAAAATAATAATAATAATGATAATAATAATGATAATGATAATAATAATGATAATAATAATATTGATAATGGTAATAATGATAATAATAATAATAATGAAAATGATAATAATGATAATAACAATAATAATGATAATAATGATAATATTAATGATGATAATAATAATGGCAATAATGATAATAACGATAATGACAATAATAATGATAATAATAATAATCGGTTATTGTAGGTCAAAAGTTAAAAATTCTGATCTCAGGCTATGGCTGCTAAAGAGAATAAAAGAATAAGAGAATAAAGAGAATAAAAGGATAAATGAATAAGAGAATAAAGAGAATAAAGAAAAAACAAACGGAAAAGAATGATAAAGAAAAGTAGAAAAAAAGAAGATGAAGAAAAAAGTACTAGACAAAGAAGAAGAAGAAGAAGAATTCAAAAGAAGAAACAGGAAAAGAATGAAAAAAAGAAGATCGATGAAGAAATGATGAAAAACAACAAAGGTGGAAAAAAGTGAAAGAATGAAAAAAAAAAAGAGGAATAATAAAGAAAAAGAAGAAAAAGGGAGAAAGACATTAGAAAAAGGAAGAGAAAAAGAAAAGCGAGGAAGGAAAAGAAGAAAAAAAGGTAGAAAAAAAAAGAAAAAATGAAAAAAAAGAACAACGATGAAGAAAATGTAGAAAAGGAAATAAAAAGTAGGAAAATGAACAAGACGAGAAAAACAAAAATGATGAAAGAAAAGAAAGAAAGGAAAAAAAAGGAAGAACAAGAAAATAGAAGAACAGTAAAGAAAAATAAAAAAAACAAAAGAAAAAAGTAGAAAAAGAACCAGTAAATGAAAACAAAAAAAAAGAAAGTATAAAAAAGAAAAAGTAAAAAGTAGAAAAGATAATGAATATCATTAAAAAAAAAAGGAAAAGAAGAAAAAAAGAAGAAAGATAAATGAGAAAAAAGGAAAGAATGAGAAAAAAAAACGGATGATAAAAATAAACAGAAAAGAAAGAAGACTATAAAATGAAAAAAAAATTAATTGAGAAGAGAACCGCTCTAAAAAATGCAGTAGAAAATAAAGGAAAATAAATTACGAGGGTCATTCAATAAATAAGGTGAATTTTTTGGTATAACGACTTCTAATACAGATAGAAGCTTACTTTTTTTTAATTTTTCAACGTAGTCTCCCAGCACTTTCACACACTTTTCCCATGTGTGCACAAGCTTCCGTATTCTCTCAGCGTAAAAATCTTTAGACTGATGTCTCATACAGTCGCTCACAACACTTTTGACTTCATCGTCACTTTCAAACTTTGTGCCTCTCGTGAACGCTTTCAAGGGACCAAACAGGTGAAAAGTCTGAAGGGGGCAAGGTCTGGGCTGTAAGGGGGGATGAGGGAGCAGTTCCCAGCCCAGCTCATTGATGGTCTACACCGTTTGGGCTGCTGTGTGAGGCCTTGCATTGTCATGATGCAAGATGACTCTTTCTGACTGATGACCCCTGCGTTTGTTCTTTATGTCTTTCTTGACCTGCCACTGCAGTTCACAGTAGTTCTTCTGTCAGACTGAATGAGGTCATTGACTGATTCAATCACCTCAGGAGACTTCATCCTCAACACTGCCCCGTCCTTCTTTAAACAATTTAGCCCACTTGTAGACATTTTTTTGGCTGAAACATGTGGCACCATACACAGTTAACATTCTCCTATGAATTTCAACTGGTTTGCACCCTTCAGCAACCAAAAACTTGATAATTGACCGCTGTTCAATCCTGGAGCATGCTTCTTGGTCGGCCATCTTTGTTAATCGACAAAACTATACCTCATCTCAAAAATATAGACAGATACTAAAAGGCCGAAACGTTGTAATAAATATGGCGACAAAGATGAGGACAATAGTCCGAATAATGTAAATAATGTACATAATACCTCATCTCAGAAATATAGACAGATACTAAAGGGCCGAAGCGTTGTAATAAATATGGCGACAGAGATTAGGACAATAGTCCGAATAATGTAAATAGTGTACATAATACCTCATCTCAGAAATATAGACAGATACTGAAAGGCCGAAACGTTGTAATAAATATGGCGACAAAGATGAGGACAATAGTCCGAATAATGTAAATAGTGTACATAATACCTCATCTCAGAAATATAGACAGATACTAAAGGGCCGATACGTTGTAATACATATGGCGACAAAGGTGAGGACAATAGCCAGAATAATGTAAATAATCTACATAATCCCTCTTCTCAGAAATATAGACAGATACTGAAAGGCCGAAACGTTGTAATAAATATGGCGACAAAGATGAGGACAATAGTCCGAATAATGTAAATAGTGTACATAATACCTCATCCCAGAAATATAGACAGATACTGAAAGGCCGAAACGTTGTAATAAATATGGCGGCAAAGATGAGGACAATAGTCCGAATAATGTAAATAGTGTACATAATACCTCATCTCAGAAATATAGACAGATACTAAAGGGCCGAAACGTTGTAATTAATATGGCGACAAAGATGAGGACAATAGTCCGAATAATGTAAATAATCTACATAATCCCTCATCTCAGAAATATAGACAGATACTGAAAGGCCGAAACGTTGTAATAAATATGGCGGCAAAGATGAGGACAATGGTCCGAATAATGTAAATAGTGTACATAATACCTCATCTCAGAAATATAGACAGATACTAAAGGGCCGAAACGTTGTAATTAATATGGCGACAAAGATGAGGACAATAGTCCGAATAATGTAAATAATCTACATAATCCCTCATCTCAGAAATATAGACAGATACTATAGGGCCGAAAAGTTGTAATAAATATGACGACAAAGATGAAGACAATAGTCCGAATAATGTAAATAGTGTACATAATACCTCATCTCAGAAATATAGACAGATACTAAAGGGCCGAAACGTTGTAATTAATATGGCGACAAAGATGAGGACAATAGTCAGAATAATGTAAATAATCTACATAATCCCTCATCTCAGAAATATAGACAGATACTGAAAGGCCGAAACGTTGTAATAAATATGGTGGCAAAGATGAGGACAATGGTCCGAATAATGTAAATAGTGTACATAATACCTCATCTCAGAAATATAGACAGATACTAAAGGGCCGAAACGTTGTAATTAATATGGCGACAAAGATGAGGACAATAGTCAGAATAATGTAAGTAATCTACATAATCCCTCATCTCAGAAATATAGACAGATACTGAAAGGCCGAAACGTTGTAATAAATATGGCGGCAAAGATGAGGACAATGGTCCGAATAATGTAAATAGTGTACATAATACCTCATCTCAGAAATATAGACAGATACTAAAGGGCCGAAACGTTGTAATTAATATGGCGACAAAGATGAGGACAATAGTCCGAATAATGTAAATAATCTACATAATCCCTCATCTCAGAAATATAGACAGATACTAAAGGGCCGAAACGTTGTAATAAATATGGCGACAAAGATGAGGACAATAGTCCGAATAATGTAAATAGTGTACATAATACCTCATCTCAGAAATATAGACAGATACTAAAGGGCCGAAACGTTGTAATTAATATGGCGACAAAGATGAGAACAATAGTCAGAATAATGTAAATAATCTACATAATCCCTCATCTCAGAAATATAGACAGATTCTGAAATGCCGAAACGTTGTAATAAATATGGCGGCAAAGATGAGGACAATGGTCCGAATAATGTAAATAATCTACATAATCCCTCATCTCAGAAATATAGACAGATACTAAAGGGCCGAAACGTTGTAATTAATATGGCGACAAAGATGAGGACAATAGTCCGAATAATGTAAATAATCTACATAATCCCTCATCTCAGAAATATAGACAGATACTGAAAGGCCGAAACGTTGTAATAAATATGGCGGCAAAGATGAGGACAATGGTCCGAATAATGTAAATAGTGTACATAATACCTCATCTCAGAAATATAGACAGATACTAAAGGGCCGAAACGTTGTAATACATATGGCGACAAAGATGAGGACAGTAGTCCGAATAATGTAAATAATCTACATAATCCCTCATCTCAGAAATATAGACAGATACTGAAAGGCCGAAACGTTGTAATAAATATGGCGACAAAGATGAGGACAATAGTCCGAATAATGTAAATAATGTACATAATACCTCATCTCAGAAATATAGACAGATACTAAAGGGCCGAAACGTTGTAATAAATATGGCGACAAAGATGAGGACAATAGTCCGAATAATGTAAATAATCTACATAATCCCTCATCTCAGAAATATAGACAGATACTGAAAGGCCGAAACGTTGTAATAAATATGGCAACAAAGATGAGGACAATAGTCCGAATAATGTAAATAATCTACATAATCCCTCATCTCAGAAATATAGACAGATACTGAAAGGCCGAAACGTTGTAATAAATATGGCAACAAAGATGAGGACAATAGTCCGAATAATGTAAATAATCTACATAATCCCTCATCTCAGAAATATAGACAGATACTAAAGGGCCGAAACGTTGTAATAAATATGGCGACAAAGATGAGGACAATAGTCCGAATAATGTAAATAATCTACATAATCCCTCATCTCAGAAATATAGACAGATACTGAAAGGCCGAAACTTTGTAATAAATATGGCAACAAAAGATGAGGACAATAGTCCGAATAATGTAAATAATCTACATAATCCCTCATCTCAGAAATATAGACAGATACTGAAAGGCCGAAACTTTGTAATAAATATGGCAACAAAGATGAGGACAATAGTCCGAATAATGTAAATAATCATAATCCCTCATCTCAGAAATATAGACAGATACTGAAAGGCCGAAACGTTGTAATAAATATGGCAACAAAGATGAGGACAATAGTCCGAATAATGTAAATAATCTACATAATCCCTCATCTCAGAAATATAGACAGATACTGAAAGGCCGAAACTTTGTAATAAATATGGCAACAAAGATGAGGACAATAGTCCGAATAATGTAAATAATCTACATAATCCCTCATCTCAGAAATATAGACAGATACTAAAGGGCCGAAACTTTGTAATAAATATGGCGACAAAGATGAGGACAATAGTCCGAATAATGTAAATAATCTACATAATCCCTCATCTCAGAAATATAGACAGATACTGAAAGGCCGAAACGTTGTAATAAATATGGCAACAAAGATGAGGACAATAGTCCGAATAATGTAAATAATCTACATAATCCCTCATCTCAGAAATATAGACAGATACTGAAAGGCCGAAACGTTGTAATAAATATGGCAACAAAGATGAGGACAATAGTCCGAATAATGTAAATAATCTACATAATCCCTCATCTCAGAAATATAGACAGATACTAAAGGGCCGAAACGTTGTAATAAATATGGCGACAAAGATGAGGACAATAGTCCGAATAATGTAAATAATCTACATAATCCCTCATCTCAGAAATATAGACAGATACTGAAAGGCCGAAACTTTGTAATAAATATGGCAATAATGATGAGGTCAATAGTCTGAATAATGTAAATAATGACTGACAATGTTTCATCTAATGAAATATGAAAATGAAATAAATACCAGAAAAAAATTAATAATGGTTGACAATGCTTCATCTCATAAAAATGAAGATGAAAGTAATTGCTAGTCATAAATAAATAAAAAAAATTTCGTTATAATTTGCTTGTCCCTCTCTTATCACAACCCTTACACTCTGCCTATACCTCATAAATAATGGACTATTTCGTTTTGAACGCGTGGAAAGGCGGGAAAAGACCTATCAGAGACACTATTGGATTCCAGTAACTAAATAAAAGAAAACAAGAAGCGAAGATAGAAGTTTACCGTCTGTTTCAGTGGAATGAAAAAGTTATCTTTTCATTTGTAACCCCTTACTTCTTGAAATAACGACTATTCATGAATGTTGCAATATTTTGTTAAAGTTTTTAAGCTTAAATATTTAAGAATAAAACCAGTCAGATTAATAAATAAAAAAAAACATCCCTTTTTTTAGAAAATTGCTTTAAGTTTGGATACGTAACTGAGCTGATATATCTGTTTCGAGAGTCAGAGAAAATATCTGTGTTTAAAGGCACTATTCATCTTTGCTTGTCCATCAACGCACTCTGTAGCCGAGAGGTGAGAGCACGTCAGATATAATGACAATTTCCCCTAGAGAAACACAATTTCGAATCCTGCTGAAGAGCGCTTATTTTTATTTAATAAGATTTCTCAAATATTCAGACTAGTAGATGAAAATAAATAAATATACTGTTTAATAAATAAACGAGATGTCTACTCAAATATCTGTGTTTAAAGGACCTATTCATTTTTGCTTGGTCATCGAAGCACTCTGTAGCCGAGAGGTGAGAGCACGTCAGATATAATGACAGTTTCCCCTAGAGGAACACAATTTCGAATCCTGCTGAAGAGCGCTTATTTTTCTTTAAGATTTCTCGAATATTAAGGTTGGTACACGAAAATAAATAAATATACTGTTTAATGAATAAACGAGGTGTCTACTCAAATATCTGTAATTAAAAGCACTATTCATCTTTGCTTGGTCATCGACTCATTCTATAACCGAGAGGTTAAAGCAAGTCAGATCTAATGATGGCTACGCCTAAGGGAACGCAGGTTCGAATCCTGCTGAAGAGCGCTTATTTTTCTTTAATAAGATTTCTCAAATATTCAGACTAGTAGACGAAAATAAATAAATATACTGTTTAAAAAATAAACGGGACATCTACTGAAATATCTGTGTTTAAAGGCACTATTCATCTTTGCTGGCTTTCGAAGCACTCTGTAGCCGAGAAGTGAGAGCACGTCAGACCTAATGACAATATCCCTTAGAGGAACACAATTTCGAATCCTGCTGAAGAGCGCTTATTTTTATTTAATAAGATTTCTCAAATATTCAGACTAGGAGATGAAAATAAATAAATATACTGTTTAATAAATAAACGAGACGTCTCCTCAAATACGAGTATCCACTAAAAAATAACGCTTAAGTAATAAACACCCGGATATAAAATTGACGAAAACGGACTATACTCTCCACTTGTGCCAAAAACATACGCCCTACTTTTCCCATGTAATAAGATGCATATTAAAATGTATACACAGATTAGAATCAGTGATATGATGACACACGAAGTGTCAAACAGTCGCAGAGATTTCTACAGAGTTTAAATTTATTCTGCTGCCTTACATATTAGGAGTCCTAAGTTCAGGTTGTCTATTTATATGGTCAGCGAATAACTGATTTTTGTTGTATGAGTATTTATCAGGCATTATTCTTCTATGTACCGCGTTTCTTCTGGATATAAGCGACCATTGTTCTTCACAACTTCCTACCCCGTGTGGCTCTAAACTGCTTTTCGCTTTTTGTCAAGACCCACGTTCTGACATCCCTGCACACAAACTCGCCAGGTAAGTGGCTCGTTACCATTCGATTATCTCTCTTGACCTCAATATGCCTTCGATTATCTCTCTAGCTCTCAATATGCTCCGATTATCTCGCTTGCCCTCAATATGACTGCGATGATTTCTTTTACTCTCAATATGCTCTGATTATCTCCCTTGTCCTCAATATGCCTCCAATTATCTCCCTTGCCCTCAATATGCCTCCAATTATCGCCTTTGCCCTCAACATTCCTCCAATTATCTCTCTTGCTCTCAATATGCTTCCAATTATCTCTCTTGCCCTCAACATGCCTCCAATTATCTCTCTTGCCCTCAATATGCTCCGATTACCTCCCTTGCCCTCAATATGCCTACGATTATCTTCGTTGCCCTCATTATGCCTCCGATTATCTCTCTTGCCCTCAATATGCCTCCAATTATCTCTCTTAACCTCAATATGCTTTCAATTACCTCTCTTCCCCTCAATATGCCTCCGATTATCTCCCTTGCCCTCAATAAGCTTTCAATTATCTCTATTGCCCTCAATATGCCTCGTGAACGTTAAGCTTTCCAAGCCCTTGTTTCTTTTTGCCCCTGATTCTAAATGTAATTGTTGCCATATTCTTTAAGTCACCCCTGTTCATTCCTAGCTCCTTGGAATTTTCAGTATCATTCTGTCGGGCACATTTCTTTTTACTCTAATTTTTCTCCTCATCGGTGGGAAGATTGCCGGGCATTGAGGGCCACATAAGAGTATTGATAATAAAGAAGAATCTGACACTATGTTACTAAGCCTGTTGTCATTAAATATCTTGACTCTGTTATATCCCGCGTGTTATACTTGGCTAAGCTCTACTATTAAACAAAACGTTGTAATAAATATGGCGACAAAGATGAGGACAATAGTCCGAATAATGTCAATAGTGTACATAATACCTCATCTCAGAAATATAGACAGATACTAAAGGGCCGAAACGTTGTAATAAATATGGCGACAAAGATGAGGACAGTAGTCCGAATAATGTAAATAATGTACATAATACCTCATCTCAGAAATATAGACAGATACTAAAAGAGCCGAAACGTTGTAATAAATATGGCGACAAAGATGAGGACAATAGTCCGAATAATGTAAATAATGTACATAATACCTCATCTCAGAAATATAGACATACTAAAAGAGCCGAAACGTTGTAATAAATATGGCGACAAAGATGAGGACAATAGTCCGAATAATGTAAATAGTGTACATAATACCTCATCTCAGAAATATAGACAGATACTAAAGGGGCCGAAACGTTGTAATAAATATGGCGACAAAGATGAGGACAATAGTCCGAATAATGTTGTGTACATAATACCTCATCTCAGAAATATAGACAGATACTAAAGGGCCGAAACGTTGTAATAAATATGGCGACAAAGATGAGGACAATAGTCCGAATAATGTAAATAGTGTACATAATACGTCGTCTCAGAAATATAGACAGATACTAAAGGGCCGAAACGTTGTAATAAATATGGCGACAAAGATGAAGACAATAGTCCGAATAATGTAAATAGTGTACATAATACGTCGTCTCAGAAATATAGACAAATTTCTATATTCGTTAAGTCCAGAAAAGTAGGCACTTGTACGCTTACAAGAAAACAATAATAAATTAAACTAAACAAATATACCTTATCAGTCTTGTGTAACGAAACGTATTCATGAAGGATTGCTGCTCAAACACAAAACTATATTTATGTATATATGTGTGTGTGTGTATTTGTGTGTGTGTGTGTGTGTCTGTGTCTGTGTGTGTTTGTCTCTGTGTTTGTGTTTGTGTCTTTGTGTGTGTATGTTTGTGTCTTTGTGTGTGTATGTTTGTGTGTGTTTGTGCCTCTGTGTGTGTCTTTGTGTGTCTGTGTGTGTGCGTGTGGTGTCTGTGTGTGTCTCCGTGTTTGTGTGGGTGTCTGTGTGTGTCTCTGTGTTTGTGTGTGTGTTTGTGTTTCTGTGTATGTGCTTGTGTGTGTGTTTGTGTGTGTGTGTGTGTTTGTGTGTGTCTGTGTGTGTTTGTATGTGTGATTTTGTGTGTCTCCGTGTGTGTGTGTGTGTGTGTGTGTGTGTGAGGAGAGAGACAGACAAACCGGAATTAAAGAACTTTTAAAAACAAAAAAACCAAAAAAAAACCAAAAAAAACCCAAAAAAAAAACCGGCGAACGACGCCCAAGGATAGAAAAATAATAAAAATCCATACAAAATACGTCCTTTAAATTGAGGGGACACAAAATGCTCAACAACCCAGATAAGGAAATCCGATACCATAAAGCCACTAAAGTTTGAGTAAGAATCCAACCCGAAATATCTAAAAGCATTAATATATATATATATATATATATATATATATATATATATATATATATATATATATATATAAGTTAAAGATCAAATGTAGATCGGAATCCAGCAGAATAAAATAAAAATGAAACACGAAACTTTTATCAATCTAACATGTTTCAATTTTTATTAAAGCCTCGTCAGAGATTGAGAAAAAAAACGAGAAAAAGACAGAACTTTTGGCATTTTAGATTCTGTTTGAATATCAATGAAACCCAAACAAAATAATAAAATAAACAAATAGGAAATTCTTTATAAATTTGACACGCTTCCCTATTTACATTATTTATATTCGGACTATGGTCGCAATTGAAAATGTTTTGACTGCTGCTACTGTTGAAAACTTACTGTCATTTGTCTTTCTTTCTTTGTTTCTTTCTTTAACGGCTCCCAAATTGTATTTGTTTCTATGCTAGGCCTACTAACAAGGTCCCCATTGACTAGCATATACGCTAATTCTTTCAGCCGTCTAAGTCTCTAATGTCTTTCTTTGTCAAGTACTTGCACGTCCTTCAGCAGGAGCTGATGGCTACCCCTTTCCGTCCATACATGATCAGCCATGCCTGATTTCATTGTCTCACTCCGGTTTTTCAATGTTCCTCCAGTATTACTTTAATCAGAAGGCTCCAGGTTTACGACAACAAATTGTCTTAGTGATTTAAAACGATGGTTCGTGAATTTGGTCGCATAGTGATTGTAAGTTCAACTCCTGCGTCGGTCAGTGTGTACTTGGACTTCGTGGGAACTGACTAGCAATAAATGAGCAGTACTAAAAATAACATCTAGATATCCCGACATAGGGGCAGCGGAACGAGGATCGGAACGGTTCATAATTCCTTGTACATCGATATTCACCTGAAGAAGATCGGAAACGGTCGAAACGTTCTGATTACAATAACAAAGATGGTGACAATAGTCCAACTAGAAATAACGTAAATAAAAATAACTTCTCATTCCAGAAATTCAGACAGAAAAAAAATATAGTTTCGCTTATCATTTTAGCTTCATCAGAAGATTGGTCAGGATGGTAGAAACGCGTCCGATATTTTGAATTCAGTGTTTGTTTTCATTGGTCGGGTAGATGTCACGTGTTCATTTTTTTGTGGCCACGGAGGGTTGCTATTTAGGCTATAGATGATAGTGGTGCGAGGAGAATAAATAGATGCTTACCTTCCCCAAAGCTATTAGTGTAAAACTGAGCACAACCCGTTGGTGTTTGAACTGGCATCTCTAATTTCACTTTCTGCATTGACAACCATTTAGCTAGCTACACATCCATCTTTGTTAAGATTTTGATATTTTACTGGCAAGATTTGGGAAAAGTTAAATCGTGATTATTTTTTAGTCCGAATAATATTTCTAAAATATTTACTCCATCTTGGATAGAGAGAAGAAAAAAGAATAAACCACATTCATAGAATCAAAATGAATTCAATAGAAATATACGTCGGATTCTTTTCAGCATCATTTTTTTAAACATTGTGACTAGAATTATATATCTATTCAGTACTATATCTTAAAAGCAGGACCTTTATTTAAAAAAAAACATTTTCCTTTATTTTTTAGTTATTTAATCCAATTTTGCTTCTCTTTACTAACTTTTTCGGACTCAAATAAGATTTGGTAATTCTAAAGAACGTTCCATGTATTATTCTTTTATCTACAACATGTCCCTTCATATATATATATATATATATATATATATATATATATAAGGCAGGATGTGTGTGTGTGTGTGTGTGTGTGATTTTCGACGGATTTGCACTAAAATTTACATGCACATACTCCAAGTTAGCGGGAAGGCCAAGACCGACTTTGCATTTCCCAAGTCCCATCGATAGTGGAAATAATTGATTTTTTTCATGCTTCTACAGCAGTTTTCATGTAGTTTGCAGCCATTTTATACTGGCCAGAGTGAGAGCCTATAGCTGGCCGTCACGAATAGGCAGGAAGATTCTATTGGCCAGCGTGAGAGCCAACAGCTGACTGACACGAATGTTAACTAGGATGCAAAAAAATCGATAGCTGCATTCGTCACAAGTGGGAAAAATTTAAATCTGCATGGCACTTTACTTCAATTGACTCATTCGCTTGCTTAAACTCAACGTTGATTCTGATTCCGCAGAACTGGGTTGGGTGTGAAAAAGTATTTGTTGTTAACATTCTTTTTCCATTCGGTTTTTCCAGTTACGAGTCCTTTTTTTTTAAATCTGATCGTTTTGTGTTCATTTTGTTTAGTTCTTTTTTCGTAACAGATTTAATGTTTAGTATAGAGCTTAGAAAAAATTCGCAGTGTGAGATAGGCAAGAAGTAAGGCATGTAGCAACATCAGCACGGCAAAGGGCACTCCTTTTAAAGGCAAGGAAGGGCAAAAATGTTTTAAGTCAAGTGATAGCGATTGCTGTATGAGTCGTACGATTTTTGAATCAAGCACGGGCAACGCCGGGCCATGCTGCTAGTATTGTAATAAAAAGAAAGAACAGTAAGATATATAATCCGGTGTTCTTATTGTTATTTTTATTTTTACAAAACAGTGCATATTTACACAGTATTAATATTATAAGAACTAGAAAAATCTACCCAGGTGAACGAAATAAAGGGTTTGTTTCGAAATTGCAATCACCTGAAGAAGGCCGGAGCGTACAACGACTGAAACGTTGTGAATATGGCAATGAAGATGAGGATAAGAGTCCGAATAATGTAAATAATTTATCAGTTTATTCACTACTTTTGTATAATTTTTTTTTTTAATATTGAGCACTTTATTTGCAAAAAATGCTGATTGCTTCAAACACGCTAGACTCCAATGATTTATTAACTGGCCTGATGAAGTGAGTCCTCTAAATCAACTGCAATTAGGAAATAAACACATAGTTAAAGTTTATCTATTACACAAGTCCAATGTTTTAACTCTAAGTACTTCTCCCCTTCAATATATCCTGTGAGTGTTAATTTCTCCAAGCCTTCGTTCCTCTTTATATGTCCTAGAAAGTTAAACTCTTTCTTATCCTAAGGCACAAGTGTCATTTTTATTTCCATTTCCCTTAAAGCTTCCTCCTTGATCACATGTTCCGTCCATGGTGTTCATGGTATTCTTCTGTAGAACCACACCTCTTTTGCTTTTTCTCCTCTTCAACTACGAGGAACTTGCCCAGCATTCACTTAGCAACTCCCACAGAGGGAATCTTGTATTAACATTTGAAAATCGTAACCTCTGCATTCTAAAAGTCCAGCAGCCTAGAAATAGGTTGTTAATAGGAAGAACGGAGCTTTTAACAATCGACGGGGCCCACCTGCCCTGAATAAGTTTATGAAAAGATCAAGAGTTTTTGTGTTAATACCCATAAGAAGGTACATGGAAATATATGTACATATATGAGATCTGTCCGGCAATTGTGAATTACAGAACTGTTAACGCATATCTGAATTGGGTCAGTGGTGGACTAGACAGGGTGTCAGCTTGACTAAGGGCAAGTGAACCCCTGATGGAGTGGGTCCCCTAGATCAAATAAAAATAAAATAAAGAAACAAACCCGGACAACTGTTTTAGTAATAAAAAAGAGTAAGAACTTTATGGACGTATCTGCATACTATCAGTTACTCAAGTCCAACGTGAGAGGACATTTTCAAAGCTAAAGGTCATAAAGACAAGGTTAAGAAATTCACTGTCTGACGAGAATTTGGAATCATACACTGAAAAGGAATTGTTAGACGACTTGGATGCAGAAGCAATTTTTGGCAGATTCAAACAATCATCTAAAGAACACAAACGATTGATCTTAATATAGTGGACTGCATTTTGAACTGTTTATGTATAAATTATGAAGTAACCTATTTAAAGATATTGAATTCTGCATTTACATTTGGTTTGATTGATTTGGTTGATTTTGTTATCTATCTATCTATCTATCTATCTATCTATCTATCTCTATCTATCTATCACATTCTGTTCATCTCTCTCAATTTGTTCATATCTATCTATCATCTATCTATCTATCTATCTATCTATCTATCTATCTATCTATCTATCTCAATGCTATCATTATCTATCTATCTATCTCATTCTGTTCATCTCTCTCAATCTGTTCATATCTATCTATCTATCTATCTATCTATCTATCTCAATGCTACAATGCTATCATTATCTATCTATCTATCTATCTATCTATCTATCTATCTCAATGTTATCATTATCTCTCTCTCTCTCTCTCTCTCTCTCTCTATATATATATATATATATATATATATATAGCTGATATTAGTGGTAAATATACACATACATATGCAAAATATATAAATATATATGCATAGGTGCATACACATACATGTATATTTTTTGAATAAAAAATTCCAAGAGGATAGAATCCAGGTAGAACTCAATGTCCAGTAAGGATATAATAAAAAGCTTAACACTAATATTCCATCGTCATAATTTATTCCATTGAATCATAAATTTCATTCACCAGACCTGCAAAATTCAAAAGAAAAACAGAATTTGAATTTATAGGTCTGATGAATTGGATCGTATTTACGATTCCAATGGAATAAATTATGACCATGGAATATTAGTGTTTTAGCCTTTATATATATATATATATATATATATATATATATATATATATATTCTGTTCACATCTATCTTTCTAGCTAGCTAGTTATACCAGCATTATTAAAAACAGAACATAATCGTTTAAAAAGAAAATATAATGAAAATATATTTATAGCAATATTACCAACGCTTAACACACTTTTAAAAAACTACATTGCGTCACCACTTTTCTACAGATCCATTATTCATGGATCTAACTTATCTCTTCCGAAGACATAAAAATCAATATATATATATATACAAAATACGCACAAGATATACTTTAATTTGTGCATGTTTCTGTTCGTGTGTGTATGCGTGCGTATATGTGTGTGTTCGTGGGCATGTGTCTATGTATGTGAGTGCGTGTGCAAATGTGTGTATACGTGTACCTGAGTGTGCAAGTACGTGTCTTTGTACGCGTGCATGTGTGCATGTGTGCGTGTTTATCAAGCAAGTCTCGTAAAACGTTAGGTTACTACGTGAATTCATTCATTCCTGGGCGTCCGCTCGGCGACTAAAAAAATACTTGATGGTTGGCGATAGTAATTTGATAATTATAGCTCTACAGCAAACACCCATATTCATATACAGGGTGGAGTAGGAAAAAAAGGGGATGAAAATGACAGTATTAATCAGGGGTAAACATCATACTTATTATAAAAACCAGGTTGTGTGTGTGTGTGTGTCTGTTCGTTTATATATTGGATCGGATTTCCTACATTTTTCAACCGATTTCAACAAAACTTCACAGGACTGCGTAAAATTACCTTGCGGTGGTTCTGACAGGGCCAAAAATGGGAAAAACACAATTGTTTTTGCACGAAATCAATTTGAAAACACGATTAAGAAAAAAATGAAAAAAATGAAATAGAACAGACAGGGTTCTATAGCAAACGACAGAAGATTAATTCCAAGGATTCCGATTCTGTGAGGAATTGGAGAGCCGAGTTCGAATTCCAGTCGAATCCATTAGATACACTTACGTGCTAATAACCTTGGGAAAGGTCTGAATCCTCTTCTTCTCCACCCCAACTATGGGAAAATAGCAGGACAGACTGGGTTCTATAGCCTTGGATGGCAACTGGTCTACCACAGAAAGAAATGGCAACCTACTGCGGAAAAAAATCTGCCTCGTCAGTCATGTATCGAAAGATACATGACCGCCTAAGCGTGTATCACGCATGGCACATAACTGACTGACTGATATCCATGATATAATAACACATTCTTTCGCGGACGGAATGGAATAACTGAGAGGAAATTAAATGAGAAACATGTTTTGTTCTCAGAGAGAGTTTTATACCGTTAAGTTATGCACAAAATTATATATGCATATTTACACGTGTCCCACGCAAGGAAATTATAACACATGTCGAAAAGAAAGGGTTTTTACTTTGCAATAATTCCCAATAGAAATTGGGTCTGTTGAAGATTCTTTACTGTTTCCGGAGAAGACATATTTAGGATTCCAGATTCCAGCGGGACGGATTCATCTACTATGTCACGAGTGAGAAGATGTCAACTGCTGGGGAAGGTAGATAGATTTAGCCTAAAAAAAAATTAAAAAAAAAAAAAAAAAGCAATCGTTCGGTTTGACTCCTGGAAACTGACTGAAAGACTGCCCACTTTCGTCACTCTATGAAGTGCCGTCACTACATGGCCGTCACGTGACCCACGTGAATTCGTTTAAACCAAAGGGAGATAATCGCCATTTGCGCCCCTCCTCCCAACCCCTTGCAGGAGAAACCGTCGTCAAATCCGACGTACTTTGAACACTCGGCAACGAAGAGTGCCGTAATCAAGCAAGGTTTTATTTGATCTTTAAAGTAGATTTTAATCATTAGAATTTCTTCGAAAGTCATAACTGCACAGTTTCGTATTCGAAGTGTAAATAAAGCAATTTCTAAAGAATTAATGGATTTTATTTATTAATTCGGCATATTTTTATTACTTCCAAAGTTATTTTTAGTGGATGCCCTCATTTGAGTAGACGCTCCGCTTATTTTAAACAGCATTCTATTTCGTCTTCCGGTCTGAACATTTAAAGAAAAAAAAGGTTTCAAATTTAAGAGCGCTCATAAAATGTTGAAAGAGGAAGAAATGAAAAATATATTGTTGCGAGATGTACACGGAGTGAAATATTTCCGAATGTAAAATTAAGTAAGATGAATCTTATCCGAGCTTATAGCTTCTGTATCCCACAAATATAGGTTATAAAACAATTTAAGAACAAATTGCAAGACAAGAAATTACTAAATACTGTTGTTAAAGATTTAACATTAAAGAAATTTTTATATCACCAATAAAATATGCATGTAACAACAATTACAATGTTTGTTGTTGCGATAATTAAGATAATGTCATAAGAAATGTTTGTGCAGGAATGTTGTTAAGAAATGTTGTTACTTTTTGATTCACAGTCATATAGGGGATTAGATATTACATAGCAGTTCAGCACTTTTTTCTTTGTTTCTAATGACATTTTCCTATCTCTTAATACTTTGCTTAGTTTATGAAAGGCATGAGGAGATTGTGCAGCATTCACTTCCATATAGGAGTTTTGATATTACATAGCAGTTCAGCACTCTTTTCTTTGTTTCTAATGAGATTTTCCTATCTCTTAATATTTTGCTTAGTTTATGAAAGGCATGAGGAGATTGTGCAGCATTCACTTCCATATAGAAGTTTAGAAATTACATAGCAGTTCAGAACTCTTTTCTTTGTTTCTAATGAGATTTTCCTATCTCTTAATACTTTGCTTAGTTTATGAAAGGCATGAAGTGGTTGCCCAGTATTCACTGCCATATAGGAGATTAGATATTACATAGCAGTTCAGCACTCTTTTCTTTGTTTATAACGGCATTTTCCTATCTCTTAATACTTTGCTTAGTTTATGAAAGGCATGATGAAATTGCCCAGCATTCACTGCCAAATAAGAGATTAGATATTACATAGCAATTCAGCACTTTTTTCTTTGCTTCTAAAGACATTTTCCTTTCTCTTGATACTTTGCTTAGTTTATGAAAAGCATGATGAGATTGTCTAGCAATACCGCCATATAAGAGATTAGATATTACATAGCAGTTCAGCACTCTTATTTAATTAAACGTAGAAACAGAGAAAGAAATAAGAGGAAAATAGATAAACCTATATGAAATTTGTATGCAAAATATATTCAAGGAGGAACTGACAAGGGGATATATATATATATATATATATATATATATATATATATATATATATATATATATAAATATATTATTTGTTCAAATATGATTCCAACACACACAGGAGAGTTCTCAACCGGACAAAACAAGGCGAAAACTTCAATATTTATTAAAAAAATTAAATTGAATTAAAATACTAAGCTCTGTTCCATCTTCAAGCGAAATTTTTTGGGGAATAACTTATTTCTGAAATTTAAGTGTTTTAATAGCATATTCATTATTTAATTCAATTTAATTCAAATAATTATATTGAAGTTTCGGCTATTGTTTTGAAACATGAGAACTTTTTATAGAGGGAAATCATATTTTTAAATAAATAATTATATTTATGCTCTACTTTTTTGATCGTGCACTGTTTTTAAAAATAATAACTAAAAATACTAAAGAAACAGAGGATTATTTAATAACGAGTTCTTTCCCTATGTTCTCTATATTTTTGTGTGTGTGTGTGTATATTCTAGTGAGACATTTTTGTGTCTACCAATGTAAAAGATTGACATAGTCGATATATATATATATATATATATATATATATATATATATATATAATAGACAGACAGACAGACAGATACAGAAGAGTTCTAGCTAGCTAGCAAGAGCTAGATAGATAGATTATTTTTGAACAGAATTACATAGATAGATAGATATGAACAGATATATGGTATATATATATATATATATATATATATTTATAGATAGATAGATAGATAGATAGATAGATAGATAGATAGATATGAACAAACTTAGATAAAAAGAGAAACTGAGACTATGAACAGACTTACATAGATAAATACATAGATATATAGATATAAGACGTAGATAGATAGATAGATTGATAGATAGATAGATAGATTTCCTAGATTTGAACAGAATTAGATGTGATAGATAGAGTGGATAGATAGATAGATAGATAGAAAAAAGAAAGTAAAAAGAAAAGAGCTAGATAGATAGATAGATAGATAGATAGAAAAGAAAAGAAAAAGGAAAAGGCTGAGATATATAGCTAGCTAGATAGATAGATAATATAGAAAAAGAAAAGAAAAAGTAAAAGGCTATATATAGATAGATAGATAGATAGATAGATAGATAGATAGAAAAAGAAAGATAAAAGGAAAAGGCTGAGATATATAGCTAGCTAGATAGATAGATAATATAGAAAAGAAAGTAAAAAGAAAAGGCTAAGATAGATAGATAGATAGATAGATAGATAGATAGATAGATAGATAGAAAAAGAAAGTAAAAAGAAAAGAGCTGAGATAGATAGATAGATAGATAGATAGAAAAAGAAAGTAAAAAGGAAAAGGCTGAGATATATAGCTAGCTAGATAGATAGATAATATAGAAAAAGAAAGTAAAAAGAAAAAGGCTAAGATAGATAGATAGATAGATAGATAGATAGATAGATAGAAAAAGAAAGTAAAAAGGAAAAGGCTGAGATATATAGCTAGCTAGATAGATAGATAATATAGAAAAAGAAAGTAAAAAGAAAAAGGCTAAGATAGATAGATAGATAGATAGATAGATAGATAGATAGATAGATATGAACAGACGAGACAAAAAGCGCAAACTGAGAGACTTTGAACAGACTTACATAGATAAATACATAGATAGATTGATATAAGACGTAGATAGATAGATAGATAGATAGATAGATAGATAGATAGATAGATAGAAAGAAAGAAGTGTTTCAAACTTTTTCCTGCTTTTGTAAAAAAAAAAAATAGAAATAAAAAAAGGCCCGTTTTACGTCGTGATGAATGCAAATAAAAAGTGTTGGGTATTTTCTTTCCTTAACCCTTAGAGTTATAGTGAAAAAGCTAAAAATCTTTTTCGGGTGATTGGCTAAATCCTCGACTGCGGAAATTGGGGGCGGGCTGAAAAAGAAAATAATTAAAGTGTCGTCATTCCAGCCATTCACGTCGAAGAGGGAGCCGTATCTACATACACCCTGACATAGAGGACATAGACACTTTCTCCTTCCACTCTGCCTCTGTGTGTGTGTGCGTGTGTGTGTGCGGGAGCGCGCACGTGCGTGTGTGTAGACTGAGAAACGGAGTGGTTAAAGAGAGATAAAGAGAGAGTACGAAAGCGAGGGTGGGTAAATGTTGTGAATGAAAGGGTGGAACGAGGCTCTGTTTAGACACTGCGACCGATTTACTGAAAGAATCGGCTTTGCAAGCACCCCCCCACCTCCGTTGATATCGTCAGCGTCTTCGCCTTCTCTACGGACTTTTTTTTTTCTTTTTATTTCTTTTTTTTCTACTCCCCTCCCTTGCCCTTTTGCTTCTGTA